TTTAACAATGTGAAATGTATAAATAGTGGTTAGGTAGGAAGCTGAACAGTTGGGCAAAATTAATGGATGGAAAGGGGGTTTGGCTAAGCAGTATACATACTTACAGGATCATTTTGTCATCATGTTCTATCCACATCACATAACCTATACACACTATATATGAACCTGATGCCTGGTTCCTTAGGTATACAGTTACTCACCCAATAAAGGCAACATTTTAAACTCTCCCTCAGCCACTCGGCTACATTTTGGAAAAGAACCAGACATCTGAGAACCTTAATCCACTGTTCTTACAAAAACAAGCATTGCATCACCTTAGGTCAAAAGTGGAAAGTGGTAAGAATCGGGTTTGTACAGGTTCGTATTTACAGGGTGCAAGAGGAGGAGGGGGTGGGGCAACCACCACAAAGTTTTCACTCTGGCAAAGATTTAATCTTTCAGAAAGAGCTTATGATTAAACATAGTTATTTAATAGTTACACCAGGATGCCAAGCACACACACACCAGAACATACTTTGGTTGCAACACCTTATGTGATATTAACTCGTGCTAAATGAAGCCTGCTTATGCAACGGTGTCAAAAGAAAACAAATAGAAAACAATAAACAGTTCTTAACATGCCTGGATTATTTTTACTGACATGGAAGTGGAGCTAAGGATTCTGGCATCAAGCAAGGTGCAATGAACTGTGCTTTGGTCCCCCAGCAGGATTGGGTTAATGGTGTCATGACATCAGTGAGGGAGTATTAACAGGTTATAAGCCCGGACTAACCAGTGCTGAATGACCACTGGCTGACGCAAGACTTGATGGAATGCTGCCTACAGCATGACCTGGAGCTGGTATGCCCCTAGTAGAGGCTAAGAAGAGTTTGTAAATGTTTGGTTTCCTGGGACTTTTTACGTACTAATATACAAACTAATATACAGAGTTAGAGTCTGAAATCAAGGGTATGAATGTCTGAAATGAAGGCAAGCTGAGTAAAGGTTGTATAATTACTTGCAACTGGCGCACTCATCAGCATTCTGGCAGCCGACAGTCTTGGAGAGTTCATGCCCCATCATGCCTGTGCTTACTTAGCAAGGACTTGAAATAGCAGAACAGTGAAAGAAATCACAGCTGTATCAGTTAGTTGCCATATGCATAGTGATATGACCGCATCACACTATTTAAAATAAAAAAAAACAGAAAATAATCTACTGGAAAACACACCCACAACCCATTTTAGGCTATGTAGAAGAGTTAAGACGGTATAAATGTGTCAAACCAAACAAAACAGATCTCTATATATCTGACCTCTTTAGTGGACATGGCATCTTTGAAATAACAGTGTGTTTAAGCTCTGCTGGCCGGTAACAAAAAACTGGAATTGACTTTTCATCAGGTCTTTAAGTAGTATATTCAAAGTAAATGTTTACCCAAATTGGAAGTTGATATTTTCAGTTCTATAAAAAACAAGTTCTGCTTTCAGCATAAGAGTATTCCAAAAAGAATTTACAAATACCTATAAATAACTATTAGAAGGAAAAAAACTCCATGAGCCATATGATAGTCTACTTTAGCAGTGCATGTACTTTAAGCTGTTTAGGGGGTTTATCTAGTTGAAGTTACCAGTTTTTGAACTCGGTATCCCGAAATCCTAAACAGTGGACTTATGTGAGTCCATAAATCCTGGAAGAGCTAATGAGGGAAATAAGAATGCCACATCCCCTGATGCTAACAGGTTAGGTATTATTCAAAATCTGGTAAGGACACACAGATAAATGCTATTCTGTGGGGGTTTTTTTTGTTTTTTTTTTTGTTTAATGTAGTTTTGATTAAAATATTTAGATCAAACCTGTTGACTAAAAGGAATATTTGCATTTTTTTTTTTTGCAAATTCCTAGTGATTACCCCAGTTTAGCACACCCATCTATACTTGCCAAGACAAAACATTTTGATAGATAGGCAGCTTCTTGCAAAGACACTACACATAACAAATAAAGTTAGAGTATATTATCAAGAACCAGCTGATTTGTTGGGATGCTAACACAGAAAGGTGGATCATTTAGTGATGACTAGGGCTGTGTCTGAATGTCCACCCTAACCACTGTATAGGGCACTATATAGTTATGCCCTTTTAAATGAGTGTCCAAAAGTCTTGTGGATGAAAAAGTAGTAGAAATTTCCCACATTGCACCTTAAAAAGTAGTGATCATCCACGGTCACTAGATGAGCAGATATATCCCGGAATGCTTTGAGTGGCGAACTCTCCTCGCAAAGCATTATGGGATTTGCTGTCACCGTGGCCCACCGTCGTTACCCGACAGTGGCAACTGATAACAAAGATGGCGCAGGCATTGCACGGGGGAGGCGGAGTTACGTGACCAACGAGCAAAAAGTAGTGATCATTTGTCCGAACGGTCCGTTAACTGGGTTCACTATAAAGTCCACTAAATAGTCCCTGCTCTATATAGTGATTGAGGGATTTAGGGGTTTGGGCGGAAGTTTAGACACAGCCTAGGATTCATGTCTTCTGGTCTCATTTCTAACTTAACACAGTTTCTTAGTTTAACATAATATAAACCAATAACTACATTAATGTTGTTATAAGATTTACCACTATGAGCTTTTGAAGCAGACCGTAAAGAAAGAACAGTAAAGGTTAAGGCATGATATTATGTACTATTTGTGGTGCCAAATACTTCACTGTTACTAAATAGTATAAAGCCATGCTTTGGTTTTTCTTACATACAATGTTATGTATGTATATATAAAAAAAGAGAAAATATATGTATGTATTAGGGATGGGACGATTTATGAAAACCGTCTGAACCGTTCGGTTCGACTGTCTCGGTTCGATTCGCGTGTGTTTCGTTCGGTTCATGCGCTGCTCCTTTTTCTCATAGGCGAAGCGTTTACACTCCAGAGCAGAAGGTGGCGGTACTGCGACCAAAGCCAACCACCAGTAGTAAACAAGAAGAAAAAGCGAAGCAGCTTAGCCGGGTGTAGCAAGGGAAAAATCAGTTGTTGTGGAGAATTGTGTCGGAATGGCGAGTGGGAAAGAACAGGAGGTGGAAGACGCGCCAGCAGCACTTTATAGGTCTGCTGTATGGGAGCACTTTGCATTTAGAGTGACCTACGGTGACGGCGGAAAGAAAGTTGTGGATAAAAGTGCAACAGCGTGCAAGCATTGTGCAACATGTTTTGTTTATGCTAACAGCAACATGTCATGCTAACCCCGAAATCCCTCATACTCTGTCAGCAACCCCCGCTGCGCTCCAGACCGGCTGCTCAAAGCAAAGCCTACAGCCCCCACTGTGGCTCCCGTCCGCTCTGCTCTGAGTCCCTTGGAGATGGTAGAGAGCATGAGCCAGATGATTAAATTAAAAGCAGCAAAACATACGGAAATGATCCAGGGTTTCCACGGCTCATTTAAAATCATTACAATCCATTATTTTTTGGGGGATTTTTTCATTAATTTCATTAATTTTTATGGGATTTCCGTGTAACAATCAACATATACTGAATCGAACCGAACCGAAAACCGTGACTACGAAATCGTGAATCGAACCGAACCGTGGATTTTTTGAACCGTTCCACCCCTAGAATGTATTGTGTTGAATTGGTACAAGGATCGCCTCAGTTATGTGTAAAATTTATCCCAAGATATGGAAATTTAAGGTTTGCTTCTGAAAAAATATTACAAAATATTTTGCACAGAAAAGTTTGAATTTTTAAACAATGCTTGACCACAAAATCCAATATGTGCAATAAGTCTGCCTTGAGCTAAAAGATTGATTTTTATCTAAGTTAGTTATGCGTTATGCTTAAAGTCAATTTTAAACATACAGAAACACCTACCTATACACACACACACATATATATATATATATATATATATATATATATATATATATATATACACACACACACACACGTATGGGGTTTTTTGAAGCCTCACTGGGGTCACTTAAATGAAAGGACCATTAGCTATAATGAAACTTGCAGTTATCAGATGGTGTGTCACTACAAATTAAGCACAGCACATTTTCCTAAATTTTGGACGCTTGATTTAAATTAAAAAGATTTAAAAATGACATGTTCTTTTAATATTATTGTTTGTTTCTTTGTTTCTCCTTTTGTTGCTGGATTGTGATTTTAAACATGTGCATTCACATGCTGTGCTTAACGCAGCATGGTACAATTGCTGCATTTTGCTTCATAAAATAAAGCAAAATGTATATCTGGAAAATGTTTAAAAAGACATAAACGCAAAAGTCTTAGAATGTCCCTCTCTATTGGGAGTGATCTATGAACTAACTTTACTGGAACCAGACTTTACTCAATACCGACCTTCTGGAACCATCCCACAAACCTCATGGGGGTCCCAGCACAAACACTGCACTGAAGTGTCCCTGGGAAAACGCCTCTTTCACCCCCCCTGCTCAAACCTGAAGCAAAAGCCGCTTAAACATTAAAAGAGAGATAAGGGGAGGATAGTGAAACTCCCATAGAACTGAGATGTAGAAGCAGGGAGCTTGCAGGGTGGGGTGGGGATCTGGCCGCGCGGCATGGCTCTCCACAACCCCACTGGATGGGTCACTATCTACTCAAGTATAAACAATGCAAGAATCAACTGGAATCGAAACCTTGTTTCCACAGAAACACTGGATCACAGCAGAGGCGCGTGAAAAGAGGAGTGGAAAAAGCGCACGAGATCCCCAGCAGCTTCAAGACACCGGGACAGCCTGAGGAGTCTCCAGTGGAAGATTCCCACTGACGAGGACACCACAGCTTCTCCGAGGAACCGACCTGCTTAAAAGTTCAATGACCGCTAGCTGGCTGATGTCACAGAGGAAGCGGGCAGAGCCTTTACGCAAAGTGCGCGCGTGCCTTCCCAAAACAGCATGTGTCATTCAACTTTTACTCACGTTTGTTTTCCTGCATCCATCCATCCACACGAAAACAAACAAACACCAAACATCATAATAAAAGTGTTTGTCCGGTATCGTGCGCTCACCTTAAAGATAAATCAGATCAGGACGGTTCCGATCCTCGTGGGACGAAAGGGGGGGGGACACTACAGCACTGGATCAGGCCACGTTGGTCAACATTCCCAGACTGGACAGATAGACAGGAGCAGTGGTAGGAGGAGGAGGAGAAAGTAGGAGGAGGAAGGAGAGAGAGCAATAGTAGCAGAAACTCATCTCCTGCAGCCTATGGAGGAGGACACACTCACCCCAAACATACAGGAGCACAAACAACTCCGCCCACTGTTTCCCAGACTGCGCCCACATGAAATGCTTCATTAAAGAGGCGTTCAGGTCTCACAGGAAATTAGGATGGTGGCTTGTTTTTCCTCTCTTTTAGGTATTTCATTGTCATTAAAATTTGAACAAAACATTTAATGAAATAATAACCAATAGCAAGTTTAGAAAGTTGCACCTTTTATTTTTTTGTTCGTATTTTTAAAAAGTGCTATAACACACATAGAAAAGTTTTCATACTGTGTGTTGATTTGTATTAGTTGGTTTTGTCTATATTGAACCACAAATTCTGATGTTTTATTTGGTGGGTTTTCATTTAGTTCATTTAATTTTAGCAATTTGTAGAAAAATAGATACATGGTTTTGGTTTTCTCTTTTTTACAGATAAAAATCTGAAGAGTGGCCATGTTGGTACTGGTAACTCTGGAAGAGCTGCAGTGATCAGCAGCTTAGCTGGAAGACAAGCAGTCTAATTAAGGTCAAAGTTTAATACTGATCATATATAGTTACCTTTGTATATTATTATGATGAAAGTTAAGCTTTGAACAAACTTAACTTCATTAGAACCCTAATGACACCAAAAAAAAATATTTCCGTTTATTCACACTAGTTAAAACTAAATTTAAAAATAAAAACTTAAATCACTAAACTGGCCTCCTGGTGTTTTGATTAGGCTTCCATTTTAATGTTTTGTGAGACAATGTCACCATCTGTTGTCTCTTTTTTCCTTTTAACTATGCTTCTTGTAGAGCCCTTCTGTCATTTTTTAAAGTAGTTTATGTAGAATAGAATAGAATAGAAAATCCCTTTATTGTTCCACAATGGGGAAATTCTGATGTTTACAGCAGCAAAAAGATTATAGAAAAAAGTGTAACACAAATATGGACCTTAGAAAAATGTATAAAATTAAAATATTAGTGATAGATTAAAAGATAAATAATAAAACACTGTACTGTAAAGTGTTTTAACAATATAAATATGGTCCAATGCCAGCTTGTCGAATATATTAAAACAAATAAAAAATAAAAATAACAATAAAAACACTCTGAGAGTAAAAGAAACAAATTTTTTATTTTTTTGGTAAAACATAACTTTAGAGGCATCCATGCTGACACTGGCACTCACATTTTTTAGTTTATAAACCTAAATATAATTGTTAAGTAGGCTTATTAACTTTTTAACTTTACATTTTAACTTTTCAATTAGCTTTTTCCCTTTTTTTGATGTGTTAACTTTTTTTTCAACTTAATTTACAGTAGGTAATATATCATTCTAGGGCTCATCTAATTGGTCGAATGCCAAAAAAAGATGTACAGCCATGTAGCAGTGTCTTTGCTGCATGGCTGGATATAGATCTTGTGCTTCTAGACCTCACTGAGGGATGGGAGGGACTCCATTTGTAAGGGGTGTGTGAGTGATCAAAAAAGGTAACTTGCCCTGTAAAGGGTTAAAGCTATATTCATCTTTTGTAGTAGTTGTGAAAATGATTATTAACCATTTTGTTACAAATGATGATAAATAGCTTTTTAGGACTGAAACAGGGAATGGAGGTGATAGGGAAATGATTGTGCTGTAGTTCAGATGTTCAAGGCTTGGAACACGCTCCAGTTTTGATTAAAGTCGTGTTCTGACAAGCACAATCTTTGATAAAAAACACGTTTTGCCATGGGGTGTGTAAATTGCACAACAGGGGGTCAAAACTCATTTCACCATTTCAATCTTACAACTGTAGTCTTTGTATAACTCCAAGCCTTGAGGCATTGCATAAGACTTTGGAGCAGTTACTGTAAAATATGACATCAGAGGTGAATAACCAGCTTGTGTTTGGTTATTTAGCTCTTGTGGGTTTTTTCATTTTAAATGTATTCTGTCAACTCAAAAGGGGAGCCTTACTGAATGAAACTGAATATTACGTCTCTAAAGAAATGTTTTTTCTCACTAAAACCCCAAATATATGTCTTTGGATTATTTGGTCATCAACCAAAATAAAAGAGTACATAATTATAAAGTGGAAAGAAGATGATGATTCTCTTTCGACTTTTTCATGTGTAAATTCTGTTTCTTACAAAGCATCTTGGTCTGTTGCCTAAAATCTAAAAAAAGAAATACACTAAGGCCTACACAGTGAAATATGTAAAAGTTGTCTAAGGAGATATTTTGGAAAGGCAAGACAATATATGGATGGACTCAGGTAAGTTCCTCCTCAGGCTGAAAGCACATCAAGAATAACTGAGCATTGGCTTCATATTTCATGCTCAGTGGAAACTTTCAGATTTGGAGCCTGAATGTAGAAGTACAAAACCTGAAGGTGTCCTCTGTGTATACAAACACTAAAGGATAGACTGTGTGTCGTCTAACATAGCTGGATTCAGATGTTTATATATAATGTATAATATAAGCTGTTGTTATCTTCACAGTATGACTTTAAATCAGACTGATCTTTGAACTATTTTGTGTCGGACAGATTTAATGGATAAATTATATTCGCTTAATGCCAGAGAAACGTCGGAATTGTTCCTACATTTCTTGAAACATTTTTTTCATTTTATTTCTGAAGCTTGCTTAGATTTTTCTTATGCTTCTAGTACATCATATTTCTCCAAAACATTGACTGCATACGTATGAACTCACTTAGTAAATGATTTGACGGCACGCTTTAATTCATTGTCCATTTTGAGCCCTATTTATTCCCAAGCTTTACTTTTCCTGACTGATGGTTTTAATATGGCTTTTCCATATTAGCAAACGCTCTCTCTTCATGATGACGCCATCTCTACCTAGGCTACATCAATACTTTCTTTTTCAAAACACCCTCATAACTTAGTGGTGTACCCCTTGTTCCATATTTGAGGTTGTAGTCTCATGTTTGCAATGTCAGTCAGTCATTGTCACTAAACTAATTTAAAATGAAGATATTGCCCATTTGCACACCTTAATTTGACCTCTATGTTGTTCTTGTATCACAGTCTCCTCTTCTCTGACTTTTTTCTGCTCATGGCTCTTCTCCATGTGTCATTCCATGATGGATTTAATGACGGCATTCTGATTTAGTCAGAAAAGACCTCGGAAATTATTGTTTAAACAGACGACTGTAGCAGATTGCTGGTATTTCACATTTTTAAATATGGAGAAATCCAGTAATCTGATATCCTGGGTGATTACTTTTGATCTTCCCATATTCACTTAATGAACTAGTTTTTGGAGGTGTCTTAAATTAAGAGTAGAATAAAGATACCATAGGCTGCACAGAGGAGCAGTGGGTAGTGCTGTTATCTTGCAGGACTGGGTTCAATTCCCGAGGTATTTCTGCTTGGAGTTTGCATGTTCTCCCTGAGCGTGAGTGGGTTCTCTCCGGGTACTCCAGCTTTCTCCCACAGTCCAAAAACATGACTGTTAGGTTGATTGGCTTCTCTAAATTCTCCTTAGGTGTGTGTCTGTGTGTGAATGTTTGTTTGTCCTGTGTGTCTCTGTGTTGCCCTGCAATAGACTGTCCAGGGTGTACCCCGCCTCTCACCCATTGACAGCTGGAGATAGGCACCAGCACCCCTCGCAACCCCAGCAGGGAGAAGTGTGACGGAAAATTGATGGATAAAGATACCTTTATTTTCCCCACAGTGGGAAATTCAGGTCATCCAGTTATGCTTCCCGTTATCTCAAGCTTACAGAGCCCTGATATCATCATCTGGGCTTTCCCAAATTGCAAAAAAAAAAAATCTTGCATTAAAACTTTTGATTAGAAAAAAGGATTAAATTTATCTATTAAAAAAAAGAAATTAAAATCTTATTTTTGAGCATTTAGCTGATAGAAATCATTTTGGCAGAGAGGAGTAGGAACAGTGGCTAACATTCCAGGAATCAGGAAGCCAGGGTCTTTTCTTCAAAAGTAATTTTGTATGACCGCAGAATGATGAATCAGGGCCATGAGCTGCTGCTCGGAATAGCAGCTCATCTGTGGTGTGGCTAAAAATTTAGATTTCATAACAACAGTGGGATGACCACAGTCAGTGCTGAAAAAGGCTCTAACACAAATTTATTCTGTAGAAGCTTTATAACACAGAAGACAGCTCATTTAGTTTGACTCTTTGCACAAGAAACTCTCATGAAACTTTTCTTTTTCTTGATTACAAAATTATTTATTGAATCAACAATGTAGGTAAACAAAAATAGCTGTGCAAATCCCAACAAGGAAAACAAACAATAGCTTATAAAACATTCACTCCATTAGTGGTATAAATCTATGAAATGCTCTTACTTTTAGACAAAAAAAAAGAAATCTTTGTGCAGGAAAGAAAACAATAGCTTATAAAACAATCTATTAGTGATATAAATCAAATCTACAAAAATGTTTCCATTTTACACAAAAAAGAGGGAAAATGCACCATCGTGCACAAGCCTAGATTAAACCATCAAACAGTATTTAAACCAGAGTTGAACAAATCTCTATAAAACTCTCCCCTTTATCTCCCTTTAGAAAATACAGCAGAAATGAACTGTACCTGAATCTATCATCATTCTAAGGCGATAGATCATTAATAAAGGATTAATAAACGATCGTGTTTATAGGAAGTCATGGTTTCCCTATAATATCACTTGGAAGAGCGCAGGAAAAAAAAAAGATAAAGCTAAAATCCAAGGTCATTCGCAGCTTTTCTGGAGCAGCTGCTTCATATGATTTAAAATATAAGATGACTAGATGAATCATTAATAGTGCCCTTAAAAACACATATATACACAAATCAAGAGTTCTTTTAACAACACAAATTAATCAAAAGGCTTGAACATAACATAAGGAACACCAGCCAAAATGCTTGCAAATGAACAAAATAGGTTTACAGGCACCAGCAGGTTATATTTAGTGAACTTTACATCAGATCCTAAAATTGTTGAGGGAGGCAGTAAGGATCATATAAAAAAGCCTATGCATATCTAATCATTGTTCCTTAAACTGAAGATATTATAGAAATAATCTTCATTTGAAAAAATATTAAATACTCAAAATCAGGAAACCTCATCAAACAGTTATTGCACTCATTCTAGAATTTATGAAGCATTCACCATACACCGGTATAACACTGATTTAGCAGCTGTTTAAGGCATCCGTAGGTTACGCCCGCTCAGGCAGACAAAAAAAAAAAGAAGAAAAGAACAAAAATTAAGTTAAAGTTTTACGTCCCGTTAGGTTTTCTTTCATTGGCACATTTTGCACAATGTTCTACAAGAATGGATGCGAGTATAAATGGCGAGATAAACTTGTGACGGTATAACACTGGAGACCAGTTTCCAAAACGTTGATCCATCTCATAGTGTAGCTATTCTAACTGAACATGTGTCACCTTTGACCCTTTCCCCCGACTGCTGCAAATGCTACAAACAGACGAATCATTCGCTCAATAACATCTCCACTTTACTTTTTAAATTTACAAGTGATTGATATAAGCATAAGGCATCAGATGTTCTATCCAGTCTGACCAGAGAACGTGAAATAGGAAATAATTTATTTAGCCATTGTAGTGCAAAACCTCATCTAGAATATGCAGTGATTCAGTTCAGGCACGCTTTAAAAGCATGTTTTAATATATAAAGAAAAAAAAAATTAAATAATGCAATGAAAATTTCTGCTAGATTCCTTGTTGCTGTGATTTGGGTGTCTCCAGCTCAATGTTGAATGGTTCCCAGTCTGCCGTTCACTTGGACAGTCTTCTTAGGGGAAGACACCTATTTGAGGAAATTAAAACATGTCACTTTTGATTTACAACACTGTGGGTTAGACTGCTCCTTCAAAGTATTCATATCTCTTTTATTTATTTTTTTCAAATTTGATTATGTAGAAAGCTTCTGTGGGTCAATAATACCAAAGTGGGAAGTTGGAGGGAGTCAAATACAAGGCAAATCTGGTAAATCTGGACATGAATGCACATCAGTTTTTTATTTATTTTTTTTGCATTTTTAGAAAACAAATGTTTAAATTACGTGCAGTATAGTCCAGGGACTTTACAATGAGGTGCTAGTTTAAAGTAAAAAGTTGAATTGATATGAACACTTTGAAGAAGAAAAGACAACACAAATACTTTGGACATACTTTTTCACACATACTGAGAAAATATTTCTGATTTAAAATCTGAAATGCATCCAGTTTCATTCGTTTTTAATTGGGCTCAAGCATTCTTTCAACTCAGCATGTTTTACTCTGGCTGTTCCTTTTTATTACATCTGCAAATGAATGCAGCTTTTACCGAAATGAGAAATGTTAACGTCTTAGGCTTCAAGAAGACAATTCTGTATAAATATAAATCCAAATGTACTCCTTCACAGTACGTAATTTAAAAAGTGTCAATCTAAAGCGTAACAGAGCTTGACTATTTATTACCTTTCTCAATCGCTCAGCACCAGATCCAGAACGAATAGCCTCCAGCAGAGCCTCCCTGGCCAGGGCAGGATTCATAGAGGCGTTGGCATTTAAATGACCCACAGTGTTAGCTTTACCCTGGGGAAATACGGGAGGGGGTGGATGTGGAGGTGCACTAATAGGTGGAGGTGGTGGTGGAGAAAGTGGTGAAGATCTGGTCAAATATGGAGGGGTTTCTGTTTTCCCCTCCCCTGAGCTCTCTTTCCTGAACCGCTCAACCTCACTGGCAGCCTTAGATTTTGTCTGTGAACAAAAAAGCAACAGTTATTTATCTTTGGAGCTAAATCATGAGATGAATTTCAGCTAAGATTACTTGATTATACTGGACATCTTCTTGCATTTCAGTCAGTTTAGCAGTTCTATCATATACATTTGAAATATAATTTACTCTTGTTGTCACTTTTGTCTAGAAGCCAAAGCTTTTGAGCTCTAATCCAAGGAGTCAGCATTTCCAAAATGTTACTGCATTAAGGATGGATTGTAAGGCGTTAACTTAGAGTCTCATTTACAGCATTTTTATACAATTGACATTTAAAATCCTCTAAAAACTTAGCTCTGCTTTTTGTTATCATGTCAGGCGCTTCCTGAGCAAGATCTGCATCCGCTTTTTGCTTTGACATTTCAAACCGTAATTACTTCATCATTATTTTGTTGACTGAATCTGTTGCTTTTTATTTTGCCATTGGGAGTAAATAAGGCTGCAGCTGCTCCCTGTCTGTCTGCTACTATGCAGGTAAGATTAGAGTAGGCTTGCTAATACCTTACTGGTTATGATCTTATGCACCAGGTATTGCTGTTTTGGAGCAAGGGGACATCTTTGTCTTAAGGTTTCAACCACAATGATAAATGTTAGGAGCAAAATGAATATCAATTCACAGAAAAGGATGTACAGTAAACAGTGAGAGATTAGACTAAGCTCTACAAATGAATACTGAGTGCGTTCCTGATCAGAGCATGCCATTTCCAAAAGAATCAAAACAAACAAACACGATATGTTTTAAACTGAGATGAAAAAAAGAAATTTTGCCTTACTTTCCTTTTCTTAAATATAACAGTTACTTCAAAACATCTTCTGTTTCATAAGCTGTATAGATTTAAAAAATAGTCCGCTCTTTTGCGGTCTGCAGGCAGACTGAAAGAAAGAGCATAAACGACCTCGGCTTGTTTTACCTTTTTCAGTCTGTTGACGTTTGGACATCTAAGGGCAGATAGAAGAGCAGATCTTTCATCGCTTTCATCGGCACATGGTATTTTCTTCTCATTACTGGTGGTAGTGGAGATCTAGTAATGCAGAAAAAACATCATTAAATAATTGCCATTGTGATCAGTCTGTGGATTTCTTCCAACCAGGTATCCATCCATTTAAAGGCCAGAACACACCGGATCCGATTCTGTGTCCAATCTCACAGAAAATCGTGTCAGATGATGTCGCGGTACACAAAGCGCAATTTATCATTCTTCTCGAAAAAGAAAAAAAAATTTAATTAGGAGGAGAAAAAAAATTGAGTAATATAGTATAATATAGCAAAATAGTGATCCTCTTCGAGCCAAAAAAACAACTTAACGAGGGGAAGACAGAGCAGGTAAGTGCAGAATATCTCTCTCAAAAAAACTTCGATAAACGTTCTGGCTCTCTCTTGGAGAATTGCCTCTCATTGCCTCAGTCACCATATAAACCATCCCACAGCGTTTATTGCAGTGTTTTTCTTTTTCGTTAGTTTTTAATATATATACATTCTCTATCTGTTTTTTTAAACTGCTGCACAGACTAGTTAAGTGGGGCTTTGTTTTATAGAATGTGAACGTTTTTATTTTTTATAACTTATCATAATCTGTCCAAGTCAAATGTGGGGAAATTGTTTTAATTAGCGTATATCAAAGACAGAAGTAAAAAAAAATAATAAAATCTGAGCAGATCTGCCAACCCTGCCTAGTCATTGCCTTCCTGTAAGCAGTGAGTGCGACATGCAAAAAAAAAAAAAGGGAAATGAAAAAGTCGTACGCAGCCGGTGTGTTCTGGCCTTAATAAAGTGTCAGCTGGATCTCACCTTCCTCAGCCTCTCCTTGCCTCCACCTGTCTGGATTGCCTCCATCAGGCTGCTGTGCAGGGACGTCTCTTTCTCAACAGATCTACAGATGACTGGTTTGAACTTTTTAACGGGTCCAAACACTGTCACTCCTTCAATAGACCCAGGCGCGTCAGTGCTGTCTGACACTATAGCTGATGACGGCAGTTTAATTTCCTTCAAATCATCCTTTTCCTGCAAAATGAAGATGTGTTTTTAATGAAACATATTAACTTTCTTTTGACAAGATAGAAGTATTTGTGATTAAAACCTACACTTATCTGTTGTTGTAGTTTGATCTTTGGGGCTATGGGTGGTTTAAAAGATGGCTGGGGAGAGGTGCTTTTTGCTGGGCTGGAGATTTGACGTTGAATGTGTTTCACGTAATCACTGCTGTTGCTAATTACGTGTATTTGGGGGGATCCATTGTAGCGACTGTCATTCTTCTTGTCTGTTTTTTGTTCAGCTGTATCCAAACCTTCTTTCTTCTTCAATGTGTTGTTTTTAAATCTCTCCCTGTTTATTTTCACCTCTACAGAATCTCTTTGACTTTCTGACATGTACTCTGGGAAGCTCATGGACCTCTGAGGACAGGAAACAGTGACTGTGCCAGTAGAGTCATTCTCGGTAATATCTGTCAAAGATAGCTGGGAGGATTGGAAATGAGTCAGTGATTTCTGGAAACCTGCAGCCTTCTCTGTCCTTGATGTCTCAGACGAGTCAGTGATTTTTGGGATTCTGCTCGGTTTAGCTGAGGTTTTGGGCGTGTATTTAGCTAGGGCAGATGCTACGTACTGGCTGGAGGTCCGCCTGGATGGTTTGACAAAGTTCAGTTGCTGTTTCCTGTCTGACTGTAAGGGAGGGGGAAGGGAAGGTGTGTTACTTGGCCTCTGTACGTTGTTGGACCCTGAAATCTTGCTCTTCACCTCATTGCGCTCTCTGTTTAAACTCGCATCTTTCATGACTTGTTTATGATCTTCTTTCATCTCTACTTTTGTTTGAACCACTGTTGTTAGTTTAGCAACGTCGCTTGTTGCTGTTTTCTGGCTTTCCGTGTTGCTAGTCTTTGACTTGCCTTCCAGGCAAGCAGCAGAGGCATTGCTGCTGACATCTGTGCTTTCAAACCGTTGTCTTTGAGTCAACACATGTTCTTGCCTGATGTTAGAGGTCCAAAATTCTTTGGCATATTCACAAACAGGGTTAGTGTTTTCAATCTCTGATTTAGACGACTGTGTAGATTTCAGGTAAGGGAGGCCTGCTCCCACCATGTTCCCTTGATCGTCAATTTTAATGGCAAAATTACTTCCTTTCGCGGCCGGCTGTGTCTCAGCGACGTACGTGATGGAGGGTTTTGGAGGGACCACGGTGAAGGTTTTCATCCCAAAACGTGATGGGACATTGTGTTTGATTTTACCATGCGAAGGACTAAAACCAGAGCTGATCTGGTTTACTTTCTGCATCGCTTCATCCCTTTCAGGAGAAACTGATCTCTGAATCTTTGCTGGAAGCTCCGATTTTTTCTGCTTAAAGAAATGAGTGTCGTATTTCACAGGATCAGCTGAGACTATAGGAGGCTTACTGCTTTTCTGCAGATCAGCACTGGTTCTCCTAGACAGTCTTTGGGTATCCTCTTTCCCAGCGGTGGTATCAGCAATCCTTTTCTCTTTCATTTTTATTTCATGCGCTTTTTTTTCTTTTTTAACACCTTTGGTTTTGATCTCCTGTGGTGCGCTCGACTCCTTGGGGAGATCTGAACTAGCACTACCTGTTTTGTAACCAAAAGCAGCTGTATAAGCATTGTTATTTTTGTTCTGCTTCTCCTCATTAGAGCGATGACTGAAGTCTTGTCCTGTAAATCAAACACAGTTAAGACATTTGATGTAGGGTTTAGACACTGGCACATTGTCTTTTTGTTTGTTTTCTTCTACCTTCGCTCTTAGTCGACTCGGTCTTGGTCAACGACTTGACTTCATATTCATCAAAATCCCGTTCATATTCCTCCAGTACCTCATCTATGGCAGTGACTGGCACATCCATGTCCACTACAGACACAGGGACCTCACTGCTGTCTGTAGACTTCCTATCAGGGCTCTCTCTGACAGAGGTGATGTCAGAATGGTCTGAAAAAGGAACAGATTAAACATTTTATTAGCTAATGCTAAAAATTTACTTTTAAACCTTATTTTAAACAGAATTTCTGGATTTGGCTAACCTGCTAGGCTCAGTATTAAACACATAAATTGATTCTTGCAAAAATATTTACACCCTAAAAACTTCATAAATGCTTTTGTATTCTGCTCCCTTTTCTTTAAAGCCCCTATATAACTTCAGAAGTTGTGTTAATAGTGAATATAAATCAGATTTGTGTCTTAAAACCAAATTATAATTTTTCTCACAGTGCTTGTAATAAAACATTAACAAATAACCAGAGTCAACATGCCCAGTGAACACATCATTTAGGTTTTCCCATAGTAAAACATGGCAGGGCACCATCATCCTGTGGTTATTCTTTTATTCAGAACAAGGATGCAAATAAGTGTTTATTATGAAGGTGAATTGAGCTAATTGTAGGGTAATGGAACAAAACCTTTACAAGAGCTAAAAACATGAGAAAGACCTTAAAATTACAGTCGGAATAAAAGAATTTGATCAAAGTAGATTCCTATTTTACAATGGGCCATTCAAGTCCATGTCTGGGTGAAAATAGAAAATCTGGGGCACAACTAAAAAACATAAGTTCACATGCACTCAACACCCAGTACAGATGAGCTCTTTTACAAAAAAAGAACTATAGGCACATATTTCTCTCTGAATTTGAATAGCTTCGTGAGTTACATTGCATCCACTGTTAATAACAGCTGCAGTCTTTGACAGTGTTGCACCGATACCGATACCAGTATCGGATACCAGTATCGGGTGGGACCCCGATCCAACACTAAAATGGTGGTATCTGTATCGGCGAGTACCAACAGCACAGCGATGCATTTTGAGAGCCAAAAGTTTATTTAACTATTGCCACCCATTCCAGGTGGGCAAGTTCTACTGGATTTACTTTGTATTAGTCTTTTTCCTACTTCACAAAGGTAGGAAGCAGCTTGACAAAGCCATGATGGCAATTATTTTACACCCAAGTAGTATGCAGTTCTTTATATATCAACACACACACCATTTTCAAACAGATGGTATCAGGTATTGGTATCGGGGCCAAAAAATGGCATCGGCGCAACACTAGTTTTTGATTCAAGGTGGCTGAGTATTAATGCATTTCAAAATTAGCTAAATTTTTTAACATCATGCAAATATTCCTCCCATTTAAAAAATGATGAATTACTTTGGATCACTCCATTAAAACCAAACAACCAAAATAATATACTAAAGTGCACCCTTGTAACTTGATCAAATAAAAGTGCTTTAAACTCTTACTGTAACTGGACTGTAGCTTCCTGATGTCCTCCTTCTCATCTGCAAGGCCTGCATCTGCCAAAGTCTGATGAAGCTGGACTGTGAGCTCAGAGTCGTCCTTAAAGCCGTTAAGGGGTTGTGGGTTAGGACCTCGAAGATTGTGCCTAACAAAGTATACAATTATATATAACATGCACATCAAAGAGTTCAACCTCTGTCATACAACAACACGCTGCATCATTAAGCAAAGAAAATACTGCTTTATCTTTATGTTACTGTGATATTCAACACTTTTCCAGGCACTAGCCTAGCTGTAAAAATGTAAATAACAAGAATAGTTCAGTGGGTGAAGAAAGAAAAACAGGTGCTTTGCTTCATTTCTGAGGTCCTACTACTTTATTGAAGTAGCTTCTTCCAGTTTTCTGTAAAGGGTTCAAATGATCGATTTCCTAAATTAGTGTCACATTAGCCGTAACAAATTGTAAAATGAGGGCCAAATCAAATAAACAGCTGTTGTTAAGGAGTCTTGGATCGTACCCTCTGTTCTTCAGTGATTCAGAGAAAATAGTGTTATAATTTCCTGGAATAGTAAGAGGCCAACAACATGAGCCTGGGCCCTGGATTCATAACCTTTCTGGTGTTTTTTTTGTTTTTGTTTGAGAGCATCATTCCAAAACCCTTGGTCTGGGCATGCTACCATACGCACTGCAAGATGAAAAAAAAAAAAAACATTTAGAGCGAAATGTGCCTTCCGAAAAGACCTTTGAATAGGAGCCTGAAACCATAACCATGAAAGTCCAGTTGAGCAAGCCAGCTTTGGCCCCAGATCAAGTCATCAATATGATGGACCTGGATTTACTTCAGTAGAATTCTGGAAACAAGTTAGCCAAAATTCACCACTTACAATGAAAAGATAAATCAAGGAAATTCTTTGACAGTGCTCAAGAACTCTTAATTCATCATTGGCAGTTGTTATATTAATAACAGAGTTTATATTTTTAGCAAAAACTATTACTGCTCTAGGTTTTTCTCTTGCTTTTGTTCTCCAATGTCATTAAAGGAATAACCTTTTTCACGTCCGCAGCAGACACCTCTTCTTCTATCTTTATTTCGGTGACAGCTATACCACTCCAGAAAACTGTGAGATATTTATTTTTCCTTCTTTTTTTTAAAGCATTATTTTTATTTTTATAGCATCATTTGTGGTATTTGTGAGATTTAGCGCCAGTTGGTGGGGACTAGGGATGTCCCATATTAATATTGATTTTATTCATAAAAAATGTATATTGGTGTCAAGATCTGCCCTGATAATTGACATTAATTATTCACTTCATTCACCTGCCTAACTCTGCCTGGTTCCTAATTATCATTTATCTCATCCACCTGCTCGTTCTGCTTTATATTCGGCTTAGCCCAGCTATAGGGGCCAGATGATCTTAGTTATTCATGTATGTTTGTTTTGTCAGTTTTAGTTATTCCTGAGCTCAGGTTCCCGTCCCCGGAGGTTTTGAGTGTTTGTCTTGTCTCCTGATCGTGTCATGGCTCCTAGGTGGGAGTACAGTTTTAAGTCCCATCAGCCTTGCTCCCAGGTGGAGACCAGTTTAAAGTTCTGCAGTAATCCCGGCACCATGTCTTGACTCTGTCTCTCAACTGCTGAGCCTTCCTGTCTGCATCTGTGCGTTTCTGTCTGAGCTTGTTGCTTGAACTCTGAACCTGCCTGATCCTGCCGGATCTGTTTTTCCTGACCTGGGTCGGATTCCTTCCTGCTCACTGAGGTGGCTGCATCAGGGACACTCCAGGCGGCTCTGCGCCAAAGCTCGTTTGGCAGTCCATCGGCTGGATCCTGCCTTCCTTGTTGATGATGGACTGAACTTTTTAACCAGGTAAGTGACTCACACAGATAATCATCTCTCGACAGATGATCGTGGTCACTTACCTGTGTTTCTCCCTCGGTTGTTTTCATGCCTTTTGGTGTTGACTTTTGTTCTTTGTTTTAGTGATATTACTTGATCAAGCCTTTTCTAACATATGCCGAAAAGTAAATGTATTATATCATTTAGATTTATTTTTTGTACAATACATTTCTGTAGGGAAAAAAATATAGTATATACTGTATAAGCTACTCCTGGTAGGTATTTGTTATCACTTTTTGTATTTAAGACTTTTTATTGTTTGCATATGTACGATAGGTAGAGATGTTCTGCAACTTCCTTCCCTCATTTTTCCACCCACTGCAATGGTTTTAAGATTTATAAAATAATGCTAACATTGCCCACTTTGGGGTGTTTCAGTTGTACTTGTCTAATTTGGTATAGACTGTCTTGCTCTAGCTTCCACTAGCCGCCTTGCATTTGGTATTTATCAACAGACCATATTGTTTGCTTAGAATTTGATAACACAGCCTCACAACGAAAATCTTGAAGCAAGATTTTACTTTTTTCTTTACCTGTTGTTTCCTGCCCAGGTAGTATTTTCTTCCTCGCTGTCACTTGAAACCTCCCTTAAGTTTCTTCTCTCTCCTCTTTCTCCACTCAGTATTTCTGATAAACTCCCATGTGGGGAGGTGGTTTGGGTATCAGAGGGGGAACTAACAATGCCCGAGTCCTCAGCCTCCGTAGCACCTTCAGGTGATGTATAACCCTGGTCGGGAAGGCTGCTGCCAAAGCTGTTGCTGTCTAGAGAAAGAGTCTCAGCTTCAGGTGCTGGCGTTTCTTGTTTCTTGAAGATGGATGAAGTTTTCCTGGAATGAAGCCAGGCTGGAATAGAATAGGAGGAAAATATTTGTATGATTATAGAGTTTTAACAAACCATTTCAGATGTTAGCCTTAGTCAAGAAAATAAAAAAAACTTCATCAATTTTTAGAAGATTCAGTATCACCAAGACAGGGGACACAATCGCCATGCTAAAGGTTAGACACAAAAGGAAACAATGCAAATGCTCAGGTTCATAAATAAAACAAGTAGCCTGGTTTAATATGGGCTCCACAGTGGAGCAGCGGATAGCACTACTGGATTGCAGCAAGAAGGTTCTGGTTTCGATTACCAGCCCGGGGTCTTTCTGCATAGAGTTTGCATGTTCTCCCTGAGCATGCATGGGTTCTCTCCAGGTACTCCGGCTTCCTCCCACAATACAAAAACATGACTGTTAGATTAACTGGCTTCTCTAAATTGCCCTTAGGTGTGTGTGTGTGTGTGTGTGTGTGAATAGTTGTTTTTCCTATTTGTCTCTGTGTTGCCCTGAGATGGACTAGCCACCCTTTCCAGGCTGCACCCTGCCTCTCACCCTTTGATAGCTGGAGATATGCACCAGAATCCCTCGCAACCCCAGCAGGGATAAATGTGACAGAAAATGGATGGATGAATGGCCTGATTATTTTTAAGAGTTTAACAAACAAGGAGTAAAAAATGAAATAAAAAAAAGGGATGCAGAAAAGTTTAGCTAAAACATGAGAGGATCAGAAAGTTAATTTTACTGGACTAAGGTTTCACATTTATCCTGATAAAACACACGCAATGCAGAAAGCAAAGGAGAAATTCACTAAACATGTTTTGGGCACACACTCCTTGTGGTTTAAGAAAATGTGTTGTATGTGCAGACTGATTTACTGTATACAAAATATTTTTATTATATTTCTAACATAGTTCTCTCGGTTTTGCCTCATAGCCTCTCTCTTCAGCACACTCTTTCACTAGCCTGTTCTGTGGCTTCTGGGAAACTTATTTAAAGTCACTGATCTTATTGAACTGAAGAGCAAGTGAATAAAAAAATAAATGCTGTGTTTGGCTTCCTGCAGTTAAACCTGAACATGGGGTCGAAATTAATGCAACCTTGTTTCTAGTGACCTGTATAGGTGAGAACAGAGCATCACTCTAAATGTGCACTGTGGTAAAAAAAAGAAAAGAAAAAAAAAAGTAACTGAGTATTTTTGATGTCTGTATTAAGAGTGTGAGTGGAGAACAGTCAGTTCCAGGAGATGTGGTGATGATTCACCGGGCTGTCCTCCCAGCTCCTTCCCAGCAACTGCTGAATCACGCCAGCAGCAGCCACAATCTACACACTTTCACACCGAGAGTAACACACCAACACACACACACACACACACCATGCTACGCTGCCGTTTCTGCTTTACACATAAGTAAACAGACACGGGAAGGAGCGTTCACAAATCTTCACCTCAGAAAGGACCCTGAGTACATGCATCTGTTAAAGATAAACCAAACGTGTTTTCACTCCCAAGCTGTCAACCAGCTGTACAGATACACATGCTATTAGTCAGAAGGCTGACCGTGCAAGACGCCAAAGCAAAGTCAAACCGTCTGAGTTCACTTTTCAACTTTTTAATTGAAAGATATCTTTGGGAGGCAAAAAAAATATAAGAAAAAACAAACAAGATGACAACAGTAATATTTTTCCTCTAACTTTATAATTAGAAATCCTTGTTAAATAGAACATATGCCAAATAATTCTAATCATGGCAGTCCTCATTAAGAAAAATGTGACATACAAGATCAGTAATTAAAACAGCATCCAAAAATGACTGCATTGAGCAAAACAGTATTTGGAGAAAGGACTATATAGCAAACAGCAGACTCACAGATATAAACAGCATGTGTGCTTGGAAACCTCTTCCTCAATATTTATACCACAACTCTAAACAATATCTCTTTATACATGACATCTGAATAATAAAAACAAAATCAGGGCACTGATACAAATGTTAAGTGTTCTATAATTGTCATCCTTTTGAAAAGAAAAGCTTTTGAAAGGAAATGAAATATAAAATAAATGAACCTGTGACCAAAAACTGCCTTTTCTGCTTGCTTTAGACATAACAAGTTCATTAAATGCATCAAAATCAGGCAGTAAACATCAAGACATTAGGAGTCTTTGGGAAACTTTGTTTAAATGAAGATCAGATCATGATTAGGAACCAATAAGAGAATCTTTGAATCCTTTTCTTCTTTTCTCTTAATTTTTTTCTTTTATTTCAATTTCAATCATACTGAGCCATTAAAATGCTCTTTTCAATTTAATTTAACTGGTTTAATTTTAACCATAATTGAAACCATATTTCAGACATATTTTTTAATTTATAAAAAAGCAATCATTTAAAAAGTTTTAGAGAATCTTGATCTGAGTTTAGGTAAAACTGGTTCTCATCTGTCGTTCTAAGATGCCATTCTAATTCGATTTTGCTGTATCTCAGCTCAAGAAGGTGAAATATATGTTGCTTTCTTTAAATGTTTAAAAAAACTAAAATTTTAAAACAATCTACGTACAAAGTATTCAGACCCATGGCTTAATATTCTTCAGGAAAGGCGGACTCAGGTATGACTGCAAGTCTGGTGCAGGTGTTCTGGGTTTTTTTTCCTTTTCTTTTCTGTATATCAGGCTCAGTGAAATGAAAAAAGGCAGCCCGGATTAAACAGTTATTTTATTTATATTGACAAATAATTTATGTAACTGATTGTGTAGTAAAAAAAAGTAACTTATTGTGATAACTATAGTCTCTTATTGGAAATTCCAGAACTGAAGGTTGCTGGTTTTCTGTTCTTAAATGGAAATTGTGGACAATTATGTTCTTTAAAATATAAATGTATTTTAAAATACGATTAAATGCTGTCATTATTTGATGGGTATTTTTTAAGACATTTAAGGGTAAGTTTTGTCTTATAGAGTAATATTTGTGGGGCTTGGATTCTGTGTAGCCAACAACTCATACTTTTACAATATATTGCAGAAGAAGAAAACTATTATTTTTAAAATACTTTTTATTACCATATTTATCAGTGCACTGTTTGTTTCGGATCATTGGTATTTGATAATAATTTGTGTTTAGAACTCCTGATTTGATTTCTAAAGGACACTCCAAAGTTTTGTTGAAGAAACTCTGTTTTTCACCACGTTTCCTCCAGTTAGCTTAAGCAGACCAGATGGTTTTTGCTTCTGATCTAATCCCTAGGGTGCATTTTGTAAGAATCCCTCCAAGCTGCCCTCTCCATCACCAAAGAGGTGAAGTGAAGTAGCTTAAGTCAAACCTTCTGGATGGTCCTTCTCTCTCCAAAATGGAAAATTAAGCCTTACCAAGGTGGCTATTGGATTCTTGGTCACTTCTTTCAAATATTCTTTTCTCATGAGATTACTCAGATTAACGGAGATTATCAAAGCCAGGGACGGCCTTGGATGCACAAAACCTTTCCCATTTAAAATCAACGAGGCCCACAGTGCTTTTCAAGACATTTGGTGGAGCTAATGTTTTTTGGTATCCTCTCCGAGATATCTGCTTTGACCCCATCCAGTCTCAGATTTTCTCCTGACTTCATATCTCTGTTTCACCTCTAATATGCACTATTAACTAGAAGAACTTATACAGTAGCAGCCATTCAACATGGCCAAACATGGTCAAAAGCCAGCCGAATGGCAGCAAAACCCCCTCCAATATCCAGCACCTGGCCTTCTCATGGGCGTGAACTTTTTTTACTCTGACTTCACCCTTTCACTGAATTTCAGGGTCTGAACAGGAGAATACCACTTCTATTTAGATCTTAATGTCCACAAATCATGACAGAAAAAATATTTTAGTTGTCTAAAAAGGAATTGTAGGGGACCAGCCAAGGGCCCATCAAGGAAAGTGGGGCAATGCTGAATGGCTTTTAAGTTAACGGAACCTAGCGGATGTGGCGTCACCTTATCTAAAGGAGGATCAGTGGAAATCAGATGTACATGACATATTTCTGTTTGAGGGGGGGACTGATACTAAAGTACTAAGGATGGAACGGTTTATGAAAACCGCCCGAACTGTTTGGTTCGACTGTCTCGGTTCGGTTCGCGTGTGTTTCGTTTGGTTCATGCACTGCTCCTTTTTCTAATAGGCGAAGCGTGTACACTCCAGAGCAGAAGGTGGCAGTACTGCGACCAAAGCCAACCACCAGTAGTAAACAAGAAGAAGAAGAAGAAGCGAAGCAGAAAAAAATCAGTTGTTGTGGAGAATTATGTGGGTATGGCGAGTGGGAAAGAACAGGAGTTGGAAGACGCGCCAGCAGCACTTTATAGGTCTGCTGTATGTGACCACTTTGCATTTAGAGTGACCTACGATGACGGCGGAAAGAAAGTTGTCGATAAAAGTGCAACAGTGTGCAAGCATTGTGCAACACGTTTTGTTTATGCTAACAGCAACATGACCAACATGTCATGCTAACCCCGAAATCCCACATACTCCATCAGCGCTCAGCTCCGCTCCGCCCCGCTGCGCACCAGACCGGCTGCTCAAAGCAAAGCCTACAGCCCCCACTGTGGCTCCCGTCCGCTCCCCTCTGAGTTCCTTGGAGATGGTAGAGAGCATGCGCGAGATGATTAAATTCAAAGCAGCAAAACATCCGGAAATTAACCAGGGTTCCCGCGGATCATTAAAAATAATTACAATTCATTAATTTTTGTGGATTTTTTCATTAATTTTTATGAGACTTCGGTGTAACAATCAACATATACCGAACCGAACCGAAAACCGTGACCACGAAACCGTGAACCGAACCAAACCATGGATTTTGTGAACCGTTCCACCCCTATAAAGTACCTATTTTTCCTTTTTTTTTGATATTTACAAAAATCTGAGATTTCAAATGAATCTATAATGAAATAATATAATGTAGAAAAACATTGAAATAGTAAATATATTTTAACACATTCTGGTGGCTGTGCATTTTGGTTTATTCTAATTTACTATAAGTAGTTTGTTATTTGTCAAAGTGTAAAATA